GTACCAACGTCGTAGTTTCGGTGTGTGTTTGGCGGGTCAAGCTTCCAGTGCGTCCTGACGCGCGTCTATCTAGTGGGAGTGACGCAGAGGAGCATGGGAGAGGCAAAGATGCGTCCTGCATACGGGACAATCAGATCGAGCTATCAGAAGATCCTTCACTGCCACACCAGGAGCGAAAACGACGGTCCAAGATCATGTCGTTGAGTTCAAGAGACACGGGGAACTGGAACCTACTTACGGAGAACGACAAGGAATTATGGCCAAAGAACTCGGCGAAACATTTCCGGGAATCCTCGGAAAGTTATCGGGAGAGCGCGCCAGATGGAGCCGGATATGGAAGGTTGAAGCACGCGATGTTGGTGGGAGCCGTGGTGGCCGGATGTTCTCATCCGGCCTTTGCACCTGTTTTCAATATAATTTACTAAATGGGATACCCGGATGTGTCCGGGGTGACTCGTAGCCCCTTATTCGCACGCGTTTTTAATTCCTCTTCTGTTCTCCCACTCTTTCATCTCTTTTTCCTTATCTCTTCGTCACTTCCTCTTCTACCTTTATCTCCAACCTCTCCTCTTTTCTTCTCTCTTCCCTCTCCCCTCTCTCAGCCTTTCATACCCCCCCCCCCCGCCTCCTCTCTTTCTCCTCTCCCCTTTTCACCCTCTTCACTATTCCCGTCTGTTTCCCTCTCTCACATCTTATGAAATTGCAGGCTCTCTCCCCTCTCCTCCGTTTTCCCCCTCTCTTCCATCCTCTCTACCTTTCCATCCCCCTCTTAACTCCTCCTTCTCTCTCCATCCCTCTCTCCAAACATCCTTTGTCCCCTTTCCTTTTTTCTCTCCTCCTCCTCCCTCTTTTCTTCCTTCTCTCTCTCTCTCACTCTCAAAACTTAATATTGCAAAATGGCAAACTAAATGGAAAAAGGCAAATACAATGGAAAAACAAATCTAAAAATACTAGGGAAAAATACATGCCAGTTTTCAGACCATGAAAAATTAGACTTAAGAAAATTTCAGGGGGTCGCAAAAAATGAAGTTTTTTCTTAATCAGTGGCAATGACTCAGACCTCGACTATAGTCTCTGATGCTCACCTTGGAGAGTTACGTGAGGCAAGGCCCATGCGTCTGACCTTTGAACTTTGAACAGACAGACAAATAAACATTCTACTTTACAGATGTATCATATAGAGATAAATGTTCTAAGGAAGTTAGAGGTGGAGCCACCTCTAACCTCTAAGTTAGAGGTGGAAAAAAATTACAGGTCTAGTCTCAATTGAATGATCAGTCTTACTTTTTTGTGGAGCGGTTCATCTCTCTCCGTCTATTGGGAGCATAACAGCCGCCCTGTGGTAAGCTCCACTACAGGAGTCTCTATAACCGCAGGCTCCACCACTGTAGGCACAAACCACTCCAGGCTCCACCACTGCATGCTCCACCACTGCAGGCTTACCACTGTAGGCTCCACCACTGCAGGCTCCACCACTGTAGGCTCCACCACTCCAGGCTCCACAACTGCAGGCTCCACCACTGCAGGCTCCACAACTGATGGCTCCCCCACTGTAGGCTCCACAACTGCAGGCTCCACCACTGCAGGCTCCACCACTGTAGGCTCCACCACTGTAGGCTCCACCACTGTAGGCTCCACCACTGATGGCTCCCCCACTGTAGGCTCCACCACTGTAGGCTCCACCACTGTAGGCTCCACCACTGTAGGCTCCACAACTGATGGCTCCACCACTGATGGCTCCACCACTGATGGCTCCCCCACTGTAGGCTCCACCACTGTAGGCTCCCCCACTGTAGGCTCCACCACTGTAGGCTCCACCACTGTAGGCTCCACCACTGTAGGCTCCACCACTGATGGCTCTACCACTGTAGGCTCTACCACTGTAGGCTCCACCACTGTAGGCTCCACCACTGTAGGCTCCACCACTGCAGGCTCCACCACGGCAGGCTCCACCACTGTAGGCTCCACCACTGTAGGCTCCACCACTGCAGGCTCCACCACTGCAGGCTCCACCACTGTATGCTCCACCACTGCAGGCTCCACCACTGCAGGCTCCACCACTGATGGCTCCACCACTGTAGGCTCACTACTGCAGGCTCCACCACTGCAGGCTCCACCACTGTAGGCTCCACCACTGTTGGCTCCACCACTGCAGGCTCCACCACTGCAGGCTCCACCACTGCAGGCTTCACCTCTGTAGGCTCCACCACTGTAGGCTCCACCACTGCAGGCTCCACCACTGATGGCTCCACCACTGTAGGCTCCACCACTGCAGGCTCCACCACTGCAGGCTCCACCACTGTATGCTCCACCACTGCAAGCTCCACCACTGCAGGCTCCACCACTGATGGCTCCACCACTGTAGGCTCACCACTGCAGGCTCCACCACTGCAGGCTCCACCACTGTAGGCTCCACCACTGTTGGCTCCACCACTGCAGGCTCCACCACTGTTGGCTCCACCACTGCAGGCTCCACCACTGTAGGCTCCACCACTGTAGGCTCCACCACTGTTGGCTCCACCACTGCAGGCTCCACCACTGTAGGCTCCACCACTGTTGGCTCCACCACTGCAGGCTCCACCACTGTTGGCTCCACCACTGCAGGCTCCACCACTGTAGGCTCCACCACTGTAGGCTCCACCACTGTTGGCTCCACCACTGTAGGCTCCACCACTGTTGGCTCCACCACTGCAGGCTCCACCACTGCAGGCTCCACCACTGTTGGCTCCACCACTGCAGGCTCCACCACTGTAGGCTCCACCACTGTAGGCTCCACCACTCCAGGCAGAAAAGATCACCCTCTACCTCCTAACTCAATAAATACAAAGGTTACCCACTTAAATTCTTCTTACATTCTTACGCTCTTAATTGACTTTTACTTTGCTACCCCCCTTTAAATTGCTCTAACCTTGCCTCGCCCTTAACTTACTCCTATCTTGCTATACCTTAAGTTAATCTTACCTTCCTACCTCCTTAAGTTACTCCTATATCCTTACCTACTAATGTCACACTTGAAAGTTCATCCCACGGCAGGGTATATCTGGCTTCTAGTAATGTCCAGTTATCTAGACGTTACCTTAAACGTGAACAGTGTTAGAAGGACTATTTGGCCGGATAGCTCCGTGCAACACGTCCGACGCTTGCGGTAGTCCAGGCCGGACTGCTGGCCCAACGTCGAGACGTCCACCACTATACCTATCCCGGAACATTGTGTGTACGGTGTCAGCCAATCAGGAAACTCCGTTTAACTGAGCGGGTATATGGTAGCCTCCGATAGATCGATAGGGGTCACGTGGTATGATGACCTCACAAACACGTCTGCGCCACGTCATCATAGCTCTTCGCAGCAGCACCAACAGTTAACCTGATCCCTTCTGGTCCCTTGGGATCACCTGGCATAATACCAACCTCAACAGCTGGCTTGACCTGGTAATGTTTATCTCTGTAAACGTAAATGTTTATGCATGGTTCCCTCTTTGCAGGAACTACCAACACTGTTCTCATTCCAATCCTGAATTGGTTGTTAAAACAACCAATACTGCCTGAGCCAAGAGGTCGCACAGGACAGCATATATGCTAGGTCTGTCTGCAGCATTAATGGAGATAGCAATATGCACATGACCTGAGCACTCTCTACATTATTATCATTCATTTCTTTATGGATTGATTCCATGATTCATTTCACCATCCGTGCAAGAACCATGCAATACTGCAGCATGATCCACCGCTGCAAGATGAGAGACTGCTCTCTCACAGCGTGCACAATAAGCTGCTCTCACGTAAGGAGTATCAGATGCATAACAAGTTACCACTCACAGGATGAGCATAGGGTGCACAATCAGCTACCACTCACAGGATGAGCATAGGGTGCACAATCAGCTACCACTCACAGGATGAGCATAGGGTGCACAATCAGCTACCACTCACAGGATGAGTATGGGGTGCACAATCAACTACCACTCATAGCATGAGCATGGGGTATGAACACACAGTGAGGTTTATAAGCCATAATTCAGAATCCTATTCGAAGTGATGAAACCTTAAAAAAACTTACTAGTTAAGTTCGGGTCAACTATGTTTCTGTGTATAACGAACAAAAATTTTCAAATATTTACAATAAATTAGTTTATCACATATGTACTTATTCATAAGCAAAATATTGACTATAACCAAGGGCGAGAACGTGTTGCAAAAAGTATATATGCTGGAGGGCAGACATTCCCTCCCTGCGTCTCACTGCCCCGAGAATGAACTAGGAGGATAGAAGGATTGAACGTGACAACCTGATTAACCTGTTCCCTGCAGAAACCCGAGCAAAGCTTGAATCGTATAAATTGTCATCCACACCTCCGTTAGACATAAACATTACATTCACCTGTGCTCTAGGAGACTCGTCCAGGGTCCGAGTCTCCTACAGCCCAGGTGAATGATGATGAATTTAGCAGTCTCCGTGGTGTAGTGGTAAGACACTCGCCTGGCGTTCCGCGAGCGCTATGTCATGGGTTCGTATCCTGGCCGGGGAGGATTTACTGGGCGCAATTCCTTAACTGTAGCCTCTGTTTAACGCAACAGTAAAATGTGTACTTGGATGAAAAAACGATTCTTCGCGGCAGGGGATCGTATTCCAGGGACCATAGGATTAAGGACTTGCACGAAACGCTACGCGTACTAGTGTCTGTACAAGAATGTAGCAACTCTTGTATATATCTCAAAAAAAAAAAAAAAAAAAAAAAAAAAGCTTGAATCCTCTAATATTTGTAAACATGTCGCCACTGTCACGCATGGCAACACGAAACAATCACTTCCATAACTCATATATAATTTATTAAATGACTGACTAATAATACATAATGGGATTCAATCCATTAAAATTATGGCAGATTAGCTGCGGATACCGGTGAAAAAGGTGCAATTCTAACTTGTAACAAATTAAACAATTAATAATTGATTTGCGAAACAAAAACAAAATTATCCTTACTTTATATGTCTGGTGATGAGATCTACAAGACTGTTGTGGTCTTGGAGGGAGAAGGACCCTGTATGTGGAGGGCCCGAGACGCATCTTTAACGCACAGACGCCGAGGGGAGCGTATGCCACAGACGCCGAGGGGAGCGTATGCCACAGACGCCGTGGGGAGCGTATGACACAGACGCCGAGGGGAGCGTATGCCACAGACGCCGAGGGGAGCGTATGACACAGACGCCGAGGGGAGCGTGTGACACAGACACCGAGGGGAGCGTGTGACACAGACACCGAGGGGAGCGTGTGACACAGACGCCGAGGGGAGCGTATGACAGACGCCGAGGGGAGCGTATGCCACAGACGCCGAGGGGAGCGTATGCCACAGACGCCGAGGGGAGCGTGTGACACAGACGCCGAGGGGAGCGTATGCCACAGACGCCGAGGGGAGCGTGTGACACAGACGCCGAGGGGAGCGTATGACACAGACGCCGAGGGGAGCGTATGCCACAGACGCCGAGGGGAGCGTGTGCCACAGACGCCGAGGGGAGCGTATGACACAGACGCCGTGGGGAGCGTATGACACAGACGCCGAGGGGAGCGTATGACACAGACGCCGAGGGGAGCGTGTGCCACAGACGCCGAGGGGAGCGTATGACACAGACGCAGAGGGGAGCGTGTGCCACAGACGCCGAGGGGAGCGTGTGCCACAGACGCCGAGGGGAGCGTGTGCCACAGACGCCGAGGGGAGCGTGTGCCACAGACGCCGTGGGGAGCGTATGACACAGACGCCGAGGGGAGCGTGTGCCACAGACGCCGAGGGGAGCGTATGACACAGACGCCGAGGGGAGCGTGTGCCACAGACGCCGAGGGGAGCGTGTGCCACAGACGCCGAGGGGAGCGTGTGCCACAGACGCCGAGGGGAGCGTGTGCCACAGACGCCGTGGGGAGCGTATGACACAGACGCCGAGGGGAGCGTATGACACAGACGCCGAGGGGAGCGAATGACACAGACGCCGAGGGAGAGCGTATGACACAGACGCCGAGGGGGAGCGTATGACACAGACGCCGAGGGGAGCGTGTGACACAGACGCCGAGGGGAGCGTGTGCCACAGACGCCGAGGGGAGCGTGTGCCACAGACGCCGAGGGGAGCGTATGACACAGACGCCGAGGGGAGCGTATGACACAGACGCCGAGGGGAACGTATGACACAGACGCCGAGGGGAGCGTGTGACACAGACGCCGAGGGGAGCTTGTGACACAGACGCCGAGGGGAGCGTATGACACAGACGCCGAGGGGAGCGTGTGACACAGACGCCTAGGGGAGCGTATGACACAGACGCCGAGGGGAGCGTGTGACACAGACGCCGAGGGGAGCGTGTGACACAGACGCCGAGGGGAGCGTATGACACAGACGCCGAGGGGAGCGTGTGACACAGACGCCGAGGGGAGCGTATGACACAGACGCCGAGGGGAACGTGTGCCACAGACGCCGAGGGGGAGCGTGTACCACAGACGCCGAGGGGACCGCATGACACAGCTAAACTCTGAAGAATTCAAACATAGATGACACATCCCTTCTGTCGTGAAGAATTCCGATATACAGAAATTGCGTGAAGTATATTACATATGTTTCTCAATACCTGCGCGGCCCCTGTCTTAAATTCTGTCTAACAACTTTAAACAAGAGTGTGGACAGGAATATCATGTTAGTTGTGAGTACTTCATTTCATCTGATTAAAGAGTTGTAGACGGCCATAGTAGATACCTTATCTTCTTCTTCTTCCATATCAATTTGGAACCAAGGAATAAAACGATTCAATACTAATAAAATAGTATCAAAATAAAGTTTAAATAAAACATAGCATCATCACGGGTACATAAATAATTATGATAAACAGGAAATGAAACATGTGTAAATTCACAGATATGAAGTCATTGGTAAGAGATACATCAAAGACTGTAAGAGCTACATCAAAGACTGTAAGAGATACATCAAAGACTGTAAGAGATACATCAAAGACTGTAAGAGCTACATCAAAGACTGTAAGAGATACATCAAAGACTGTAAGAGATACATCAAAGACTGTAAGAGATACATCAAAGACTGTAAGAGATACATCAAAGACTGTAAGAGCTACATCAAAGACTGTAAGAGATACATCAAAGACTGTAAGAGATACATCAAAGACTGTAAGAGATACATCAAAGACTGTAAGAGCTACATCAAAGACTAAGAGATACATCAAAGACTGTAAGAGATACATCAAAGACTGTAAGAACTACATCAAAGACTAAGAGATACATCAAAGACTGTAAGAGATACATCAAAGACTGTAAGAGATACATCAAAGACTGTAAGAGATACATCAAAGACTAAGAGATACATCAAAGACTGTAAGAGAGTCATCAAAGACTGTAAGAGATACATCAAAGACCAAGTCAAGTATCTACCATACATGTCTTTGAGAATACTATACTTATTTATAGCTAATTTACGGTGCTTTGAAGGTCAGAACTGGTTTAGGACGGGGTTCTACTCTGCTGAGTCGTGAATAGGCGCTCAGGCGCTCGTTCCTAGGACCTGCTTGTCTCTCAGGCCACACATCGTAACCCCTCCGACCTCCAGTGGGGGAAGGGGGAACGGCCCCACTGTGGGAACCACTGATCTAGCTCCTATACCTACCTCCGTCCAGGTATTAGTTTCGTATAGCAAATGACAGCAGTGTTTTTCATATAACTTATGATCAGTTTTTCATTAATTTCCTTTTCAAATATGTTAAATGATGGGATGAATGTCATGTTTCCTTGGCCAGATTTAGGAAAGGATCATTTAGATATTGCCTCCTTAAGGCTGTTTCTACTCGGCCAACAATTACTTACCATCGTTTTCTCTAAGATAAGATTGTTTTAAGTGAATTAGTGGCGTGATTTACATCTTTTCTGTCTCCTACAGATTAAGTGTTCAATCATCTGCATAATTGAACAGCAATCATCATTTACTATTAAATTGAAGATGTCATGCAAGTGGCAGTTCCACGGGAGTGGTTCGATTGTTTACAACAACCTGAAAGTTTCGGTTACTTAAGAAGTTTTCAACGTGATGCAGAAGATTCCAAGAAACTCTATATGTCTTTTCAGCCATACACCACCAATCGTGAATGTCGGACACTAATCTATGCTCCAACAATATATCAGGTTATTTCCTATGCATCTTTACCCCAGTCAATTTTTTTAACTGGGGTACTCAACTTTTGACTCAACTCAACTTTTGACTCAACTCAACTTTTGACTCAACTCAACTTTTCACTCAACTTTAACCCTCTTTTCGGTTTTGCTTTCAACTGTAGAATTAGATCTTATGTGCCTCTTGTATCTCTAAGACTGGGTCTTAGATATCCACACTGGGTCTGTGATATCCACACTGTGGATATCACAGTGTGACAGTACACACCATACACTACTTCCATGAGCTGGTACTGCAGTTAAGTGAATCGTTAACTAGGGGAATCCTGCGAGTGATTATCTCTGGGATAGGGGGGGGGGATAGAAGGGTGGTGCAAACGAAGTGATATTAACTGCCGCATTGTATGACGTCATTAATGTTTACTAACACCTGGCTGGGACCGCCCATCGTCTCTAACGACTCATTAAGACCTGATGGTTGTTGTCAGTGTGTTGTATTGATTATACGGTCATCCTGCGTACTGTGGTAGCTGTTTACCCTGGCTGGTTGCCTGGTTGGTTGGGTATGTTGGTTGGCTGGTTGGTTGGTTATGTTGGTTGGCTGGTTAGTCGGTTGGGTATGTTGGCTGGTTGGTTGGTTGGTTATGTTGGCTGGCTGGTTGGTTGGTTATGTTGGCTGGCTGGTTGGTTGGTTATGTTGGCTGGTTGGTTGGTTGGTTATGGTCAGTGGCTGGTTGGTTGGTTGGTTGGTTATGTTGGCTGGCTGGTTGGTTGGTTATGTTGGCTGGCTGGTTGGTTGGTTATGTTGGCTGGCTGGTCAGTTGGTTATGTTGGCTGGCTGGTTGGTTGGTTATGTTGGCTGGCTGGTCAGTTGGTTATTTTGGCTGGCTGGTCAGTTGGTTATGTTGGCTGGCTGGTCAGTTGGTTATGTTGGCTGGCTGGTCAGTTGGTTATGTTGGCTGGCTGGTCAGTTGGTTATGTTGGCTGGCTGGTCAGTTGGTTATGTTGGCTGGCTGGTTGGTTGGTTATGTTGGCTGGCTGGTCAGTTGGTTATGTTGGCTGGCTGGTTGGTTGGTTATGTTGGCTGGCTGGTCAGTTGGTTATGTTGGCTGGCTGGTCAGTTGGTTATGTTGGCTGGAAGGTCAGTTGGTTATGTTGGCTGGCTGGTCAGTTGGTTATGTTGGCTGGCTGGTTGGTTGGTTATGTTGGCTGGCTGGTCAGTTGGTTATGTTGGCTGGCTGGTCAGTTGGTTATGTTGGCTGGCTGGTCAGTTGGTTATGTTGGCTGGCTGGTCAGTTGGTTATGTTGGCTGGCTGGTCAGTTGGTTATGTTGGCTGGCTGGTCAGTTGGTTATGTTGGCTGGCTGGTTGGTTGGTTATGTTGGCTGGCTGGTTGGTTGGTTATGTTGGCTGGCTGGTTGGTTGGTTATGTTGGCTGGCTGGTCAGTTGGTTATGTTGGCTGGCTGGTCAGTTGGTTATGTTGGCTGGTTGGTTGGTTGGTTATGTTGGCTGGCTGGTTGGTTGGTTATGTTGGCTGGCTTGTTGGTTGGTTATGTTGGTTGGTTGGTTGGTTATGTTGACTGCCTGGCTGGTTGGTTATGTTGGTTGGTTGGTCGGTTGGTTATGTTGGCTGGCTGATCGGATGGGTATGTTTCCTTGCTGGCCATATGTATACCTGTCGATGATTCCGAGGATCAACGTCCCTGCGGCCCGGTCTCTGACCTGGCCTCCAGATTGATTGTAAGGGCAGTCAGACTGTTACATGCGGCTATTCACAGCCTTACGTATGAGTCACAGCCTGGTTGATCAGCTATTCTTTGAAGGTGTTTGTAAAATTATCTTTGAACAGTGCGAGAGATCGGCCAGTTATGTGTGGAGAGAGTGTGTTGAAGAGTCTCGGGCCTTTGATGTTGATCAAGTTCTCTCTCAGCGTGCCTATTGCACCTTTGATTTTCAATGGGGCTATTTTGCACATCCTGCCATGCCTTCTGGTCTCATGTGGTCTCTTTTCTGTGTGTAAACGTTCCTTCTAGTGTTTTCCTGGTGTAAATTATTATGTACCTCTCTTGTTTGCGCATCAAGGAATAAAGATTTACAATTTTTAAGCGGTGTTAATAATTTAGATGTTTTACTGAGTGGATTCGAGCAGTAAAAGATCTTTGCACACTCTTCAGATCAACAATATTTCCAGCTTTGAATGGGGCTGTTAGTGTGAAACAGTAGTCCACTCTAGCGAGCACTAGTGTCTTAAAAAGGATCAACATTGGCGTGGCATCTTTTGTTTGGAAGATTCATGTTACCAATCTGTCTTCTTCTTGCAGTTGTGACAGCTACTTTGTGGTGTTCTTTAAAAGTTAAGTCTTCCGACATTATTATTCCTATATCTTGACTGACTGGTCATTTGGGCTTGTTGGCTTGGTATTCACCTAGTTGTATTCACCTAGTTGTGTTTGCGGAGGTTGAGCTTTGCTCTTTCGGCCCGCCTCTCAACTGTCAATCAACTGTTTACTAACTACTTTTTTTTCTCTCCACACCACACACACACACACACCCCAGGAAGCAGCCCGTGACAGCTGACTAACTCCAAGGCAATTATTTACTGCTATGTAACAGGGGCCTTCAGGGTGAAAAAAACTTTACCCATTTGTTTCTGCCTGGTCAGGGAATCGAACCCGGGCCACAGAATTACGAGTCCTACGCATTATCCAACAGGCTACCAGGCCCCTGTGGTGGTCGTTTGCTTATGATGGTTGGCTGTTATGTTGGGTATGTTGGCCATTTGGTCGGATTGGTATGTTGCCTGGCTGGCCTGATGATTTCCTGCTCGGTTGGTTATGTATGCTGACAGTTCGGTTAATAGGGATGTTGGCTAGATGATCAGTTGGTTATGTTAGCAATCATGTCCCTTATTAGCTAACCGGCGATTAGCAAGGCGGCATCCCAAAGCTAACAGCACCATCCTACAGACGGAAACAGTAAATACAAAGAGTTAATACACAATACAGCAGTATAGAATGAAGCAATGACGGTTTTCTTCAATCACAAAAGGAAAAAAGACCTGAGAGTGGACATAACCCCCAAATCTGATGCCAGAAGCCCACATTAGCAGAATAACAACAGCTGCGTATGACATACTGACCAAAATCCTTCTATCCTTCAGAAACTTGGACGAATGACCTTTCCGGGCCCTATAGACAACGAAGGTGAGACCCACACTTCAATATGCATCCCCAGCATGGAACCCTTACCTGAAAAAAAGGATAAGGAGAAACTAGAAAAGATTAAAAGTTATGGAACGAGACTCGTTCCCTAGTTGAAGGGACTGAGCTATGAGGAAAGACTGAGAG